GTTCATAAAAGGGTGGGAAAGGGAGAGAAGGGTAGGAAACACATGAAAATCATATTTCCATTCTACCCTTGCCCCCCTAGCAGCATCATTCACAGACTCTTGCGATTCTGAATTTGTTTTCAGCCAAATGAGACTCAGAGTATGTGAGGGTTTCCCCGGGGAAATTTCTTTCACGGAGAATGGGCTGCGACATTCAAATGTTCCCAGCATTCAAATGTTGACCCTCTGACTCCTAAGCTGAACGGCTTTGCTCAAGTTACCTCACCTTTTTAAAACCTCTGTTTTCTCATCTATAAAAATAAGGAAGACAATTGTCACTTGGACTTGCGTGAGAAATAGTGACAAGGTCCGACAAGCGTCTGACACGTCACACAGGAGGTACAACAGGAGATCGAAGCTGCTTTATTCTCTGGATGAAGCGGTAAGGCAGCTATAAAAACTCAGTGCCTGCTGCATGCCCATTCATTGCTCTTTTAAAAAAATTTAAAAAATGTATTGGTGATATTGGTTAATAAGGTTACATAGGTTTCAAGTGCACATGGGCGGCTCAGTTGCAGAATTCTCGCCTGCCATCCATTTCCCTTTCATCATTTTATTTAAAATAAATGAAATACCTTGAGAAGTAGGTTTGGGAACTTAGCTTGGATTTATTTAATCAGTATAAGATCAACGTTAGCACATGGTTAGTTTGTAGAATTCATGTTAGAGTTTTTGTGAAAGGTAGAGCCGAGGTGGTATATAGAGGTGATGAAGGGTTGGGGGGTTAGAGTTGGGCACGAAAATGACGTTGAGATTTCAGGTTGAAGTTGGGCAGGAAATGAGAATAGGGCTGGGATTGGGGTGATAGTATTAGGACTTGTGTCAGATGTGAAATGGAGATGGTTTAATGGGAAGTATGTCAATGTGGACTCCCTGGGATATGACAGGAATGCAGGCTGCAGTCTGAGTTGTGCCTGCGGTCAGATTTGGAATTGAGGCAATGGTGACATCTAGTGTTTGGGTCAAGGCCGAGCATGACTTATGTTTAAGGGTTCAGGGTTCAAGTCAAGAGTCATGATCAAGTTTGCTTGATGTGAGAGATAGAGCTTGAGTTGATATTTGCAGTCAGGAGTTTGGTTAGTAAGTAGTTGCCACATTGAGGTATAAATTGGATTGTTCAAGGATCGAAAGTACTGAGGCTTAGGGTTAGGTATGACTGAGGTCGCAAGTTAAGACGCAGGTTTGTGTAAAAATCGCAGTTGAGAGTTGTGTCAAAGTAAAGACTGGATTTGGAATTATGGTTGAAATCAAGGACTGGGGTCTTTCTCACCCTCTCATGAGCTCTTGACCAGATCTGGCCATGCCCTCTCATTGAATGACACCCATGTCCATCAAGCAAGAGACACTGAAGCCCTAAAATCTCCATCTCCCTCACAACTTCCATTCAACCCATAGCCGTGGATTGTTGATTTTCCCTCCTAAATACATCTTGAATCCTTTTGCTACCATCTCCATCCAGTCAGCATCACCTCTCACTTGGACAATATCAATGGCCCCTTCATGACTCCACATTCACGTCTTACCTTCCTTCATAGAGCAGCCAGGTTGATATTTTGAAAATACAAATGTCATACGTCACTCCTCTGAATAAAGTCCAAGTGGTTCATCATTGTCCACAAGGTAAAGCCCAACTCACCATGACCTACAAGGTCCTTCGTTCTCTGGTTCCAGACACCCTCTGTTCTCTGTGCTCCATCTGTATGCGTCTTCCATCTCAGGACCTTTGCACCTGCTGTTTTCTCTACATGATGCTCTGCAAGTTCTTATATATTTTTCTAGTTTATGCTTATTGTTCTTTCTACTCGGTTCTTTGTAACTTCCTGGTTCAAAACCTCCGGGAAGTGCTTTCACAATCCTCTACGTCTTTACTTCGGAGCACACATTAAACTTGTAATTTTACATTTATGTATCAATCATTTTATTTTATTTTTCACACCTGACTGTCAGTATTTTGAAGGAAGGGCTCTGTGCATCCAGGTTTGAGCGCCACTGTATCCTCAGCACCTAGCCTAGCCTGGCATATAGCTGGTGCTCAATACGTATTTCACAAGTGTTTAAAGGTTTGGGTCTGAGAGGAGGTCTGGAGAATGAGCTACACCTGGAAACAGGGCTGGTGAATTCAGATTCCACATGCAGATTCTCACTAGAATTAGGTTTACATTCATGGTTTAAGACTGGATTTGGGATCTGATGTGAGTGAGATTTGGACTCAACATTGAGGTCTCAATAAGGAAGAGTTTGGCTGTGGGAACCAAAAAACAAACAAAAAAAATCTTTAAACCAGGAAGGAAGCCAGAAAATGACATGAAATGAAGGGGCACCATGGAGCATTAATGCACCAGCTCAGCAACCTCATCAAAGACCCTGACTATCTCCATCTCCCTGTTTATTCATCTGCAGGGCTATGGCTTTGTTGACTGGCCACTTTCCTCCGTGGGTCCAGGAGGGCTGCCTCGCTTTCAGGATTTATATCCAGAAGGGACATCATCTAACAGAGTAAAAGAAAAACTCTTCTCATGTCTCTATTTGGAAAAAGGAAAGCAGTTCCCAGAAGTAACCCAGTGGTCTTCCCCTCACTCCTCATCGGCCAGAACTGCATCCTAAGTCCATTTATAAACTGATCCCTGGACAGCAGAAATGGGCTCCCATGCTTGGTGCAGTCAAGCTTATTTGTAGTCACATAAGGATAGCAGACCATCCAAACTAAAGGTTCCTGACAAGGGCGGGAGGAGTGAATGCTTGGGTAGACATCAACAATATATGTTATGGGTCACAGTATGGGACAGAGGTGGAACTGTGTTAGGTAGGGGTCAGGACTGAGATGAGATTTGGGCTCGGATGATGAATGGATCGTATTTTGGGGACTGATTTAGAAGCGGGGGTCAATTTTACTCTGAGAAATTGGGTGTCTGGCAATAACCTGGCAATGGTTCCTGCCTTGCTCAAAGTAAAGCCAAACTCAACCCTTGGTCCTCAATCCCTGTGTCATGAGTCCTGTGATGTCTCTGACCTCATCGCCCACCCTTCTCCCTTTCGCTCATTCAACTCTAGTCAAAAAGTACTCTTTGCTAGGGGCTAGACCGCCCCTCCCCTGCTCCTTCCTGTCAGCTCTGCTGATCCCCAGCAGCTACATGCAGGCATCCGCCACCTTAGTCAAGATTTTGTTCAAATGCCCTCTTCACATAGAGCCTTTCTAAGGGTTTTATCTAACCCTGTAACCCCGGGTGCTTCTGAGAGTGAAGGAAACCAATAATCTCCTACCCCTCCTTCCGGTCTTATTTTCCTTCATTGGACTTACTGCCACCTAACAAACTATTTACTTTCAGTTACTCTTCTACTGAAGGCCTCCATCCGCTGGAATGCGAGTGAGAAGAAAATATTCGCTGTTTTGTTGGTGCTGTGTTTTCTGAGGCCATAATAGTTACTCATTCAGAGTAAACGCTCAGTGGATGCTTCTGGAATGAGTACAAGGAGCAAAGATGACTACACCGAGAAATTGTTATTATAATGAAAACTACTCAACTGCACTTCAATGTGAAACAAATCACGTAAATCAGAACCATACTGTAGTGTGGAATGTTATGCAACATTATTAATAAAGGGGAAATAATGTAACTTTACTACAGGGAAAAATGTTCGGGATATTTTATTGAATAAATAAAAGTTTACATTAAATAATACTTGGTACAGACATATTTTTAAAATATGTTTTTATTGATTTGAGAGAGAGGAAGGGAAAGAGAGAGAAACACTGATTGGTTGCTTCCTGCACACATCCCAACTGGGGATCGAACCCACAACCTGGGTATGTCCCCCGACCTGGAGTCCAACCGGCGACCTTTGGGTGCACAAGACAACACTCAACCAAGCCACACCAGCCAGGGTTGTAGGGACATTTTTGTTATAAATGCATAGTATGTATGGAAATCTATAGATGTCACAGACTAGGTGATAATAAACATTTAACAGGGGGAGTTAGGAAAGCCTACTTTTATTCGCTCACACCCCTGTGTTAAAGCTGAGTTTGGGTGCAGGCTCAAAGACACTTCTGGGATTCAGTCTGGACAATTTCCCACAGGCTGCTCATAGTAAGGGCGTAGGGTCTAAGCCACCCCTGAGACAGAGTGAGGGCAAGAAAAATGGTCACAGAGGAGAACCCAGGACAAAATCCATGCCCCGAGATGTCCTGTCCCTTGACTCCTGCTCCTGTCACTCAGCACCAGCACCTGGTTCCTCCCTTGGTACCTGCCACCAGGAAAGGTAGAGCTACAAGGTGCTGGGCCAAACCCCTTGGTGCAGCGTCGCCCCTTCCTCAGGAGTGAGAGTGGAGGTTGAGTGCGGGTCTGCGGCTTTAGCTGCCTCAGGGGGTCCAGACAAGAGCAAGTGCAGGTAGGAGTGTCCCAGAGCTAACTGCACCTGACCCAGGTCTCGGGGTTGGGGCGGGGCAAGTGTGCTATAAGACGGCCACTCTGCACAGGGCTGGACACTGCTGACTTCCAACCCACTCTGGAGCCCGGATCAGACCAGGCTGACCACAGGTGAGAGGAAGTTTCATTTGTGGTGAGGCAGGGACAGCTGACTCTTGTTCCTAAGTGGAGGTGAGTAGGAGGCCTGAACTTCTGGGTTCTGATAAGGAGGGGCTTGAGGTCTAGACTTTTTGGTCTTTGACATAAAAGAAATTGTGATACAGAATATGGACAGGGGAAAATAGGAAGCCAATTCCTGAGTTCAGAGTGAAAAGGAGTCTTGAGCCTGGACTTCTGAGTCTGAGGAAGGATTGGTTTGGGGAGCTGGGCTCCTGGGTCTGAGGGAGGAGGTGGGTGCAGACTGGGGCTCCTGGGTCTGAGGGAGGAGAAGGGGCTGGGGACCAGGACTCCTGCTTCCTGAGCTCTTTGTCTTTCCAGCCCCAGCAGAAGAGGCCCTTCCCCTGCGTGGCAGCCACACAGGCTCAGAGAGGACTCATGGCAGGTCCACTTCTCCAGCCCCTGCTGATCCTAGTGCTGTCCTTAGCCCTGGGATCTGCTAGACAAGCAGGTGAGGCTGGCCTGGGAGGCCTGCCCCTGCCCCTGGCCTCACAGTCCCCACCCTCCCTCCCCAGGGCCCCTCTCTCCAAGGAGTCCCTGAGTCAGGACCCCTCCCCTGCAGCAGCTGCCTCCCATGGAGACAAGATCCTCGGCGGTGGCCCCTCTCTTCCTGCACCCCCTGACTCCCGGGGTCTGGGTGCCCTCCAGGCTGCTTCCTGCCCTCAGTGTCTCTCCCATCAGATGCTGGGGTTGCCTCCAGGCCAGACATTGTCCTGGGTTTCTGAGCAGGTTTCCTTCATTTCTCTCCATCTCTGTCTGCAGCTGAGTCTTCACTGTGGTCCATTTCTGCCTCTGCCCTTCTCCATGTATCTCTGTTTGTCTCTCTCTCTCCATCACTGTCTTGGGAATCCTGCTGTGACCTCTGTCTTCCCCTGATGCCTGCTACCGATGTTTTCACCATGTCTCCATCCAGTGCCGGAAGCTGAAGTAGTAATTGTTAATGGATATCCATGTCCAAGAGGCTTCCAACCCTGGCAGGTGGCCCTGTTTAAGGACAGTGCGTTCCACTGTGCAGGAGTGCTGGTCAACAAGGAATGGGTGCTCACCGTCGCCCACTGCTACATGAGGTATGTGGGAGGAGAGCTACAGGGACTCCATTTCTCACTCTTGGTGTCTGTCCCTGCCTCTTTCTGGGTCTTTGTTTTTCCATCTGTGTGTGTGCCTCTCTCCCCTACACTCTAGGTCTCTGTCTACCTCTCTGTGGTTGTCTGTCCCTCTAGCTCTGGGTCCCTATGCCCCTCTCTCAGTCACAGTCTCCCTCTAAATGTTGCTTTTTTTTTTTTTAAGTGAGTACATTGTGCAAATGGGCAGTGATCTTCTGGTTGATGGAAATGCCCAGAAGATCAGGGCCACAGAGTCGTTCATCCATCCCCGGTATGACACAGCCACAGACACTCATGACATCATGCTTGTGAAGCTGAGCAGCCCAGCCAAGCTGTCACCCTCCGTGAGGATAGTCAATGTGCCCTCCAGCTGCAAACAGCCTGAGACAAGTTGTACTGTCTCTGGCTGGGGCAGCATCTCCATGGATGTAGGTGAGGTTGCGGCTGTGCCCACAGCTCCCATTTTTCTAAGACACAGGATACAGGTGACAAACCCAAGATCCCAGACCCTCAAGCCCCTCCTCCCTCAGACCCAGGAGTCCAGGTCACCAGGCCTTTTACCATCAGATTTAAGACCCTGCTCTAAACCCTCCTTCCCCTAACTCATAATCCTTGGGTCCCAAACCTCCACCTCACAGACCCAGGAGTCTAGAACCCCAGTCACCTCTTCATGCAGACCAAGAATTTTTGGGTCCTAGATGCACCTCCAGATATTTAAATATCCAGGACCTATCCCTCACCTCTATCAGACGCAAGACTACTTGCCCCCAGGTGCTTCCTTCTCCAGACCCAAGTAGCCAGGCCCCCAGCACCCTCCATCTTCTCACACAAAAAATTCTGGCTCCCATTCACCTCCATTTACAGATATGAGAGCCATGGTCCCCAGCCTTTTTCACCCTCAGGCCCACAAGTCTTCCCTCAAACCCAGGAGTCCCATAGTTAGGTCCTAGTTCGTGACCATAGCATCGAGTCACCCAGCCTCTCCTTATTCAAGATCCAGAACCCCCGTTTTTTTTCAGCACCCAAGGGTCCGGCAACCCAAGCCTCTGACTGCCTCCTACCTTCCCAACAGTGAGAACTTCAACAGAGCTCATGTGTTCAAATGTCAACCTCATCTCCTACGAGGACTGCAGGGAGTTTCACCGTGTCCTGTCTAAAAAATACGTGATCTGTGCTGCGCCTCCCAACAGGGACTCCTTGGCCTGCAAAGTGAGTCCCCTCCTCCCCTGCCCTGGGTCCTGCTTCCCCTCCATGCAGGGCCTGGGAGCCTGACCTGGTGCTGGGCCATCCCTCACACCCCCCAGGTTCATTTCCCCGGCTCTGTCTACTCAGTTCTCCGCCTGGGTCAGAGTGGGAGCCCATGGGGGCTGGCGTGGCCCTGGGGGTAAGCACCAAGTTGAAGGTTAGGGACTGGAGTTGGAAAAATGGGACTAAAATGAAGGCAAGAGCAGCGAGGCACCGGCTGGAAGCCCCAGTTTTAAGGGGACACCAAAAGCTCAGTGACCAAAATAAAATATATCCTAATGCAATATATATTTTTTTTAATCTACTCCAAAAAAATCCATGCGAACAAAAATAGAATTTTCAACAAATAGCAGTCGGCTTTGACTGGATTTTCCACTGGCCTCGGGCTCCTGATGGTTCATCAAAGCACGGTGATGGCCCCAACTTTATCTAAGATTAAAATACCCTGTTTGTCATGGATTTTTTTTTTTCTTGGCAAATTTTATTGTCAAGGTACCGCATTAAAATACTCGTTGCAATCGCTGAGACGTTGTGCCTTAAGCTAGGGTCTGGCTTGCTGAGCTGTCTCTGCACCTGATGCTGGCTCTGGGGAAAGAAGGAGCCCCCTCCTCTTTGGACCCCCTCCCTCTTTCTGGAAGCCCCTCTTGTCTCTGGGAAGCGTCTCCCCTCGCCTCTCCGCACACCGCTTTTTGTTTTCTTGTTTCCCTCGGTATCTTCTATTGGATATTCCCTCTGGCTCTGTGTGTGCATGTGAGTGCGTGCGTGTGTGTGTGAGTGTGTGTGTGCGTGTGTGTGTGTGTGTTCTGCCTCTGCTTCTTTTTCATCTCTGCCTCTTTGCTCACCCCCAATATTCCCGCTCCTCTGCCCCCCTTCCTTCCCTGGAACTCTCTCTCTGTCTTTCTGTCTCTCTGTCTCTCTCTCTGTCTCTGTCTCTGTCTCTCTCTCTCTGTCTCTCTGTCTCTCTCTCTCTCTCTGTCTTTCTGTCTCTCTGTCTCTCTCTCTGTCTCTGTCTCTGTCTCTCTCTCTCTGTCTCTCTGTCTCTCTCTCTCTCTCTGTCTTTCTGTCTCTCTGTCTCTCTCTCTGTCTCTGTCTCTGTCTCTCTCTCTCTGTCTCTCTGTCTCTCTCTCTCTCTCTGTCTTTCTGTCTCTCTGTCTCTCTCTCTGTCTCTGTCTCTGTCTCTCTCTCTCTGTCTCTCTGTCTCTCTCTCTCTCTCTGTCTTTCTGTCTCTCTGTCTCTCTCTCTGTCTCTGTCTCTGTCTCTCTCTCTCTGTCTCTCTGTCTCTCTCTCTCTCTCTGTCTTTCTGTCTCTCTGTCTCTCTCTCTGTCTCTGTCTCTGTCTCTCTCTCTCTGTCTCTCTGTCTCTCTCTCTCTCTCTGTCTTTCTGTCTCTCTGTCTCTCTGTCTCTGTCTCTCTCTCTCTCTCTCTCTGACTCTTCGCCTCCTGGGAACGTTCTCCCACCTCGGGGCTCCCAGGCTCTCAGACGGGGGGTGCGCCTTGGGAATAGGGGGGTGATGGGACAGGGTTGCGCGTTCTAAAGAACAGGGGGGGTTCTCCGTGTCCCCCAGTGAGGGCCTGGCCCGTGACTGCGCAGAGCCCCGCACTGGAGAGCGGAGCACACTTGGTGCTTTCCTTGCTGTACTAAAGTTCATGCCCTTGAACTTGGTGGGCCCATTTTTCCCATGTTGCGCTGGACCCTTTGAAGTGGGTCGCTGGTCCCGCCCCTGGTTTCGAGGACAGCCCCGGCCCGCAGCCCCGAGCAAGAAAATGGACCGACCCCCTGGAGACTATGCACCTTCTCCCGGCCGCCGGCTTCAGGGTGGAAAATACAGGGATGGGGCTCTGACTTCCAGAAAGCTCCGCCCCCTCGCTGTGATTGGCCGCGGCTCCAGCCAATGTCTTCAGGAACCTGGTTTGTCCGGGCCTGGGAGCGTTCGTTCCTGCTCGCCCATTGGTCCACAGAGACGATGCCTCTCTTCCCATTGGACAGGGCGGGACCCAGACTAGATCACCGCGGGGCTCAGGAGACCTCAGCGCTGGCGGCTCTGAACCCCAAGCTAATCTGCTGTTTCCCCCCCAGGGTGACTTAGGGAGCCCCCTGATGTGCCAGGGTTCCTTGCAAGGCCTGGTGTCCTCCAATTATTTTCCTTGTCGACCACCCTTCGGCCCGGTCATCTACACCCGTGTCTGCAGGTACAGCAAGTGGATATATGAAACCATGAGAAAGAATTCCTAATCTCCAAACGCCCCTCTCTCCGTCCCTGTGCCCGGAACAGGAACGTCACAGAAATAAAGACATCCGTGACTTACAGCCATATTTGACTTGACCATTTTTTCAAAGTCACATTCAAACCTCAACAGTATTCTAATCGAACATCTAAAATCTACAAGCAAAACACAAAACATAAAAACCTCAGTGCTGGTCAAGGTGCGGTGAGACCCACAGCTTGGGCCAGTGGAACTGTGAGTTGCTACCATGTTTATGAAGGAAGGTTAATCGAGAGATTTATTCAGCACTTTTGACCTAGTAATCCTAGTAAAGCCGAAATGTTGGGCAAGGTTTGAATTCATCACAACATTAGCTGACAGAGCAAAACAGTGAAAAGACTGAACGTGTCTGAAATTATTGGATTGTTTATGTAAGCAATAAACTGTTGTAGGCAAGATACTAATGAAGCTGTTCAGGACAATAATTATGCACAATTGTTAGTGTTGTGCAAAAATTGTTTATGCTATTTGATCTGAAACAACCTAAGTGTCCTCTGATAGCAGATTGGATAAAGGAGATGTGGTACAGCCCACCCAGGGTGGCTCTGTGGTCGAGCATCAACCTAAGATCCAGGAGATCGTGGGTTCAATTCCTGGTCAGGGCACATGCCCAGGTTTGGGGCTCAATCCCCGGTTGGGGGCCTGCAGGGGGCAGCCGATCAATGACTCTCTCTTCATTGATGTTTCTCTCTCCCTCTCCCTTCCTCTCTTTGAAATCAATAAAGACATATTAAAAAAAAAAAGGAAAAGATGTGGTACATATATACAATGGAATACTACTCAGCCATAAGAAAAGACGAAATACTTCCATTTGTGACAGCATGGACGGGGCTGGATAATATCATGCTAAGCAAAATAAGTCAGACAGAAAATGGCAAGAACCATATGATTTCACTTATATGTGGGATATAAAACTTCAGCAACAAATGAACAAACAAAAATAAAAATAAAAAACCCTCATAGACACAGACAACCGTGTGGTGGCTACCAGAGGGAAGGGAGGGTAGCAAAGGATAAAGGGGGTCAAATATATGGCGATGGGAGATTGACTTTGGGTGGTGAACACATAATGCAATATACAGATCATGTACCATAGAAATGTACACTTGACACCTGTACAGGGTGGGGCAAAAGTAGGTTTACAGTTGTTCATGTGGCAGGTAATACAATAATCAATAAATAATAATACAAGAATAAGCTCTGTATTTTGCATACTCACAACTGTAAACCTACTTTTGCCTCATGCTGTATAAACTCATTAACCAATAAATTTAATAAAAAGAAAGACCCAAAAAACCCAAACTACCTATTTTAAGTTTTTGTTTTGCTAATTGAGGTCTCCACCCACTGGACCGAGAGCCTCTGCGAAGGATTTTGCTGTGTTGTTGATGCTGGGTCCTCAGAGGCCAGGATGGTTTCTGGCTCAGAGTCAATGCTCGGTGGATCTTTTTTGAATGAATGCAATAAGCCCAGATGGATGCACCAAGAAATGCATCCCACCTCTATTGTCCTTCAATGTGGAACAGGTCTCATGAATCAGAATAATAACACAGTGTGAAATATTACACAACAGTATAAATAAAGCAGAAAAAAATGTAGTAAGAAGAAAAGATTGTTCAGGATATTTTACAGAGTAAAAGTTTACATTAGCTACATAGCATGTATGGAAATTGTGGCAAGCATTCAGTGGGTGGACCTAGGAAAGCCCTCCCTTTCTCATTTATGCCCTTATGTTAGGGTTGGGCTTGGGTGCAGGCTCAAAGACACGTCTGGAATTCCACCTGGACAAGTTCCCACGGGCTGCTCAGTTAGGGTGTAGGGTCTAGGCCACCCCTGAGACGGGGTGGGAAAAGAACAACGGTCACCTTGAAGGACCCAGGACACACAGTCCATTCCTGAGTTCCTGAGCTGTGCTCTTGCCCCTCAGTGCCAGCACCTGGGGGGGGGG